CACTGTCTAGTACTGGATCTCAGTGGGAATGCTTCCAAATTTTCCCCATTCAATATGATGCTGGCCATGGGTTTGTCATAAATTGCCTTGATTGTGTTGAAACTGCTGTTTTTTTTTTTTTTTTAAGATTTATTTACTTATTTGAAAGTCAGAGTTACACAGAGAGAGAAGGAGATGGGGAGAGAGAGAGAGAGAGAGAGAGAGAGAGAGAGATCTTTCATTTGCTGATTCGCTCTCCAGTTGGCAAATTGGCCGGAGCTGTGCCAATTCAAAGCCAGGAGCCAGGAGCTTCTTTCAGGATCTCCCATGCAGGTGCAGGCACTCAAGGATTTGGGCTATCTCTACTGCTTTCCCAGGGCATAGCAGACAGCTGGATTGGAAGTGGAGCAGCCAAGACTTGAACCAATGCCCATATGGGATGCCGGCACCGCAGGCGGCAGCATCACCCACTATGCCACAGTGCCGGCCCCAGAAGCTGCTGGTTTTTGTATGTTGACCTTGTAACATGCAGCTTTAGTGCATTTGTTTATTAGTTCTAACAGATTTTAGGGAGTCTTTATGGTTTTGTACATATAATATGATGTGTCTACAAGCAATTTTATTTCCCCCTTTCCAAGTTGGAAGACTGATTTCCTTCTCTTGCCTAATTGCTCTGCCTCGTACTTCCAGTACTGTGTGGAACAGAAGTAGCAAGAATGGGCAAAAAAGCTTTCAAGTCTTCACCATTGAGTATATCAGTTGTGAGTTTCTCACATGTGGTCTTTTTAAAAAATTTTATTTAAATTATGCAAATTTCTTGTATTTCATATATACAGATCTAGGAACATAGTGATACTTAATGATCCAACCCTTCTTTCTCTTCCCTCTCCCATTCCCACTCTTACTACTTTCCATTTACTTAATGATTGTAAGGTTAACCCTACACTAAGTAAAAGAATTCAATACATAGAATTAAGGACAAAACAATACTGTTTCTCAACAGAAGAGACAAGGGCTATTAGCAATCATTGAATCTCAAAATGCCTATTTCACTCCAATACATTACATTTTAGGTGCTCTATTAGTTATCCCTAATCAGGAAAAATATATTATTGTGTTGAGGAACATTATTTCTATAACTAATTGGTTGAGGGTTTTTTTTTAAACATGAAAGGATGCTGAATTTTTAAAGATTTTCCTGCATCTATTGAGATGATCATATGATATTTGTCCTTCAATCTGATAAGGTGATGTATCCATTTTTAAATTTGCATACGTGCAACCATTTTCATCCCTGGGATAGATCCCATTTTTTTAAAGATTTATTTTATTTATTTGAAAGAGTTACAGAGAGAGGTAGAAACAGTGAGATAAGTCTTCCATCTGCTGGTTCACTTCCCAGATGGCCACCATGGCTGGAGTTGGGCCTATCCGAAGCCAAGAGCCAGGAGCTTCTTTTGTGTCTCCCACACAGGTGCAGGCCATCTTCTACTGCTTTCCCAGGCCATAGCAGAGAGCTGGAGCAGAAGAGGACTAAAATCAGCGCTCATATGGGATGCCTGTGCTTCAGGCCAGGGCTTTAACCTGCTCTGCCACAGTGCCGGCTCCTGGGATAGATCCCATTTGATTGTGGAGAGAGAGCCTTGTATTGTTCTGTTGAATTTGTTTTGCTAGTATATTGTTGAGAAGTTTTGAATCTGTGTTCATCGGGGATATTGGCTTGTACTTTTATTTTCTTGTGGTATTCTTGCTCAGTTTTGATATCTGGGTAATGTTGATCTTGTAAAAGGAGTTAGGAAGTATTCCCTCTTCAATTGTTCTGGGGGTGGCCCTGGGGGAGAATTTAAGAAGACTGGGTCCTCCTTCTCTTCAAACATTTGGTGTGATTTACCAGTGGAGTCATCAGGTCCTGGGCTTTTCTTCAATGAGAAATTTACTCAATTTCTTTGTTCATTCATGATCTGTTCAGATGTTCTGTTTCTTCCTGATTCCATCTTAGTATGCTATGTATGTCTAGGAATTTATCAATTTATCATGCTTTATCCAATTTGTAAGCATGTAATTGTTCACTGTAGTCTCTTAAGATCCTTTGTAATTCTATGCTATCACTGGTAATGACTCCTCTTTAATTTCTGATATTTTTCTTTGTCTCTTTTTTTCTTAGTCTAATTAAAGGTTTACCTATTTTGTCTGTCTTTTCAAAAAATAAACTCTAAATTTTGTTGATCTTTTGTTTTGTTTTCCTAGTCTCTCATTTTTTTCTGCTCTGATTTTTATTATTTCTTCCTTTTGTTAACATTGGGTTTAGTTTGTTTTTCTTTTTCTAATTCCTTGAGGTGTAGCATTAGATTGTTTGTTAGATTGCTTACTTCAAATTTTTTTTTTCTTTTTTATGTAGGTGTTTGTTGCTATTAACTTCCCTCTTGGAACTTCTTTTAGCACATCTGTTATATTTTGGTATCCTGTATATTCATGTTTTTGAACTACTTTTGCTATTTATTTATTTATTTATCTTAGTCTTTATTTTACCTGAAATAGGGAAAAAGACAGAGAGAAGTGGAAAAGAGAGAGAAAGGTGTTCTAACCACCACTTCATTCCCCAAATGGCTGCAACAGCCAGGACTGGGCCAATCTCAAGCTTATAGTCAGCAACTCAGTCCAGGTCTCCCAAAGTGGGTGGCAGGGACCCACGGACTTGGGTCATCAGCTACTGTCCCCTACACACAGGGTATGCAGTGGCAGGAAGCTGTAATTCAAAGTGAATCACTCCAATAAGGGATGTGGACATCCTAAGCAGCACCAAATGCCCACCCTCAAATGATTTTTAAATTTCTCCTTTAAGTTTTTTCATTGATCCATTAGTTGTTCAGAAACTTGTTGTTTAATTTGAGAATTTTCTTCAGTTACTCCTGTTGCTGATTTCTAGTTTCATTTGTATTATAGTCAGAGAAGATACTTGATATGATTTTATTCTTCTCATATTTGTTAAGAATTGTTTTGTAGGATAATAAAAGTTCTATCCTGGAGGCTCTTCCTTGTGCTTTTGAGATGAGTGTGCTGTCAGCTACTGATGAATGTCATGTTTCAGGTGACTGTTAGGCTGTTAGGCTCATTTGGTCCTTATTAGTTTTCTGTCTGGGTTGATCTTTCTGTTGCTGAAAGCAGGGTATCAAAGTCCAAATTGCATTCTGTTTCTGAATTCATGTCTTAACATGGTTTTATATTATTTTTGTGCTCTGATGTTGAGGGCACATATATTTAGAACTGCTATTTCCACTTGATTAACTAGTGTTTTTATCATTATGAAGTAACTTAGTCATCTCATTTTATAGTTTTTACTGATGGAAGTATATTTATGTTATCTGATGGAAGTATATCTACATCTATTTTGTGTTGTTTTCCATTCACATGGAAAATTTTTTTCCCAATACTTCATCTATAATCTATGTGTGTTCTTAAATCTGAAGTGAGTATGGATACATAGCTTATAGGTAGTTGGTTCCTTCATGTCTTGTGATTGGATAATTTAATCCATTTATATTCAAAGCAAGTATTAATAGGTTAGAATCTTTATGTTCCTAAAGTTGTACTTATGAAATGCATGAAGTTTGCATTCCTTAAATAAAAGGTTTCTGAGAAAAAAAAACAAATAGTAAAAATGAATCTATTGCTGTGGTTTCATTTATTGTCTTCTGGTTACTTTGTAGGTCCTTTGTTTTCTTCTTCTTTTGCAATTTTATTCTTCTTTGTGATTTGGTAATTTTTTTTTAGTAGCACTCTAGTTTTTTTACATTTTATCTTTTGTGTATCTACAACAGGTTTTTGCATTGTGGCTACCATGAGGCTTATGTAAAATGTATTAGTTATAATAGGCTACTTTAAGTGGTTGACAACTTAGAATTTGATTGTGTGTAGAAACTCAGCAGTTTTACTCCATTCTTCCAACATTTTGTTTTTTATATAAAAATTATATCTTTTTATGTTATGGATCTACTAACAAATTACTGTAGGCATTATTATTATTAATAATAACTATTATTTTTAGTAGTTTTGTCTTAACCTTCATACCTCCTGTTTAGAATTTTTAAGATTCAGGGAACCGGCGCTATGGCTCACTCGGTTAATCCTCTGCCAGCGGCGCTGGCATCCCATATGGGCACCAGGTTCTAGTCCAGTTGCTCCTCTTCCAGTCCAGCTCTCTGCTGTGGCCCGGGAGGGCAGTGGAGGATGGTCCAAGTGCTTAGGCCCCTGCACCTGCATGGGAGACCAGGAAGAAGCACCTGGCTCCTGGCTTTGGATCAGTGCAGCACCGGCCGTAGCGGCCATTTGGAGGTTGAACCAACGGAAGGAAGACCTTTCTCTCTGTCTCTCTCACTGTCTATAACTCTACCTATCAAATAAATTAAAATTAAAAAAGAATTTTAAAATATTCAGTTTATTTATTTATTTATTTGAAAGGAAGAGTGCCAAAAAGGGAGAGAAAGAAGAAATGTGTGTGTGTGTGTGTGTGAGAGAGAGAGAGAGAGAGAGATCCTTCATCCACTGGTTCATTCCCTAAATAGCTACAATAGCCAAGGCTGAGTTAGGTGAAACCAGAAGCCAAGAACTCTTCCATTAGTGTCTCCCACATGTGTGACAGGGCCTAAGCACTTGGATCATCATCCATTGCTTTCCCTGGCACATTAGCAGGAGGCTCATTGGGAAGTGGAGCGACAGGACTTGAACCAGAACTCTGACAGGGGTAAAGGCATCACAAGTAGCAGCTTAACTCACTGCATCACAATGCCGGCTCCTCTGAGTTAGATTTTAAGAGCAAGAACCACCTATTTTAATTCACTGTTTCTCATCATGCTCAATATAGCCATGAACAGGTAATAAATATCGAATGTATACTTTGTGATTGACAGATCCATTTAGGAAGTGATACTTGAGCTAGTGATATTTGATTCCATGTTTGACACTGTTGTACACCCTGGTTCTGTTAATGACGTTCTCCCTCTCTTTTCTCTCCCCAACCACAGCATGTGCATTCCGGTACAATGGGCTCTCCTTTGTCTACCTTATCTACCTCTTGCTCATTCCTCTATTCTCAGAACCAACAAAAGCCACAATGCAAGGTAAGGCACTTATTATTTGGCATAACAGTTATACAGTTTCTTTTTTTTTAAACTTTTATTTAATGAATATAAATTTCCAAAGTACAGCTTATGGATTACAATGGCTCCCCCCCATAACTTCCCTCCCACCTGCAACCCTCCCCTTCAGTTATACAGTTTCAATGCATTTTTTGTTTATCTGATGGGAGAGATGTTATCTGTACAACATGGGTGGTCCAGTAGGGAGTGGGTGTCAAATATTTGAACAGCTACATCAAATAGAGCTGTATAGAAATTGTGATAATTTCTTAGGTCACTTTCACAGTTGTTCTTCACATGTAGTCCCTATTAGGTCTTTGTTAGTATGCTTGGCAGTATATCTGTGTCTAGATAAAACTAAAAAAGTATTGTCAATCAAACATGGCAGTTGGCATTGACACATGTGTGTCAATGTTGGGGGGTGAATGATCGGGGAGAAGTTAGTGGCAATTGGAAGGGGCAGAGCAGTGTTTGACATTCCTAAGCCACTTAGCAGGAGACCAAGAGAGGAAGCCTGCTCGTAGTCCAGCCTTGTTCATGTCAGTTGAGGTTTGTTAGCATCTGCCTCAATGACGTAATGAAAGGGCATAATCTGAGTTGGAAGCATATTTTCTTAGGCATGTTCCTGCAAAGCTTTAGATCCCTTTCCTGCTCCTCTACAAGGTCTCAGGACATAGAAGAGAGCTGTGTTTGTTGAGGCTGTAATTTGGAAGCATGGTCTGGTTTGTGAGTTTGTTTATTTGAAGTTCTCCCACAAGTATCAAACTAAAACCATGCTTAGATAATTTAATCAATTGTTTTGAAAAACGCCCACACTGCAAGAAGTAAGGACTGTGCCAAATACCTTAGGTGAGTGTAATAGCCCTCAAGGCTATCTGTTTACAAGAAAGGAAAAGGAAGTTGTGTTTGACCCAACTTATGGAGCAGCATGGGAAAGCTCATTGCTGGTGACTTTCTTGTTGATGGTGGACTCTGGAGGAAGAAGGAAAGACCCTGGTGTTCACAGAGCAACAAACAATGACTGCATCTTTTCCATTCTCTCCATTCATCATTAAATTGTAAAACACTTGCAGATCTTCATCCCAGTGTTGTGACTGCAATAGTTATATGTCATGTTGATTTTCCTGACTCAGGAGAGGAACGCCTTAATGTCCCTTAAATTTTTAATATACAAAGTTAGGAAAGTCTAGAGAAATGTGAGTTTACGTAAATCTTTACCCCAGACACTACAGCCTCATTCCTGAAGAGATCAACATAAGCAAAGTAGTTTCAGGCCTCAGAACAAGATTGCAGCATATAGGCAACTTCCACTTCATAACTTGATGCTCATTTTTCAGAGAAAGAAGGTTTGTGTGCATTCAGCTTAAACATGACTACCTTTATATATTCAATTGCAATATCTATCATGTTTATATCAAGTTGGAACCTTATGTCTTTTTTGGATTCGAGGTAACTGGGATCTGTCCCTTTGTATGTATGCGCCCACCCTAACTTTTCCTTTATCTCTAACTAACCAGTCCTGAATGTTGCAACAATGGTAGAAGTGCTCACTGGTCTAAGTTCAAGTGCACCAGGGACTGACACCATCAGGAAGATCACAGGTGAAACAGAATCAAAGGCAAAAAAGAAAATCCTCTCTAGATAAAGAAATACCCTGAACTAACAAAATGCAACCAGGTCAATGAACCAACAAGGCATAATCAAGGGCACAGTTGTCTCCTGGCGCAGCTCATAATAGGAAAGGAGAGGACAGCAGGCTTGAGGGGGAAATCCACTTGGATCTTCCCCATCCCTACCTGGAAGCAGCATTGTGAGAATTTATTTTCCTCTTCCCTGCATTTCAGCACCAAGAAACATGGCTGATATTCAACACAGCCTCATTTGCTTGTTTGTTTCTGTGATTGCAGAGGGACTCCAGGAAGGGACGTCACATGTATTTTTTTCTGAACTCATAGGGCTCCTATTCCCTGTGTTCCCCAAATCTGTGTTTTGAGACATACCAGGTTAGACAGCCCTGGTGGCGTGAGGTCCCCTATGGAGCTGACCTCTGCCAGTGATGGCCCCAGCATGGGAGGATGCTGTGTGTGCTGTGTGGCTTTTCGGGAGACTCAGGTTCAGACTTGCTTGGACTCTGGAGTTGGTGTCCCTACATGTTTTTCACGAATCAGTCAAAAAAGTACATAGGCAAATTGAAAGGACTGCTGGCAAGCTCTGCATTCCCTGTGCCCAGACAGTTTGTGCCTGAGACGGTGACTGAGTTTGAATTGGCCTCCAGAGCCGATCAGGCCACACTCTCCTTTGCTAGACCTGTGGACTAATGCAGATTCCACCTGAACTGGAAGGAAGGTGCATGAATGAGAACAGCACTCCAGGTCCTTCCCTCTGCTCTCCACTGGGTCTCCTAAGTATCTTTTTTTTCTTTTTTTTTTTTTTAAAGATTTAATTTTTTTATTTTTATTTGAGACAGTTACACAGAGAGGTAGAGATAATGAGAGAGGTCTTCCGTCCACTGGTTCTCTCCCAGGATGGCTGCAATGGCCAGAGCTGAGCCGATCCAAAGCTGGGAGCCAGGAGTTTCTTCTGGGTCTCCCACGCGGCGCAGGGGCCCAAGGACTTGGGCCATCTTCTACTGCTTTCCCAGGCACATTAGCAGGGAGCTGGATTAGAAGTGGAGCAGCTAGGACTCGAACTGGCACCCATATGGGATGCTGGTGATGCAGGCCGGAGTTTTAGCACACTGTGTTGCAAGTTTCTTTCTTGTATCTTATCAGCACATCCATAAAAATGCCCAGGATATAACAAATATTAATATCATAAGTTGGGAAGTGATTTTTGGATCTAGCTCTTGGAATAGTGTATTAGTCTGATTTTGTTACTCTCATGAATTGCCCGAGGCAGACTACTTTAGAAAGAAAAGAGGTTTATTTTGCTCAGAGTTTTGGAGGTGCAATGGCATGGCTCCAGCATCAGCTTAACTCTGGGGAGGGTCTCGAGCCCATATTGGGAGCATGTGAGAAAAGTAGTGATTACACAGTGAGACAGAGGCCAGAGACTGATTCAGGGGTCAGGTTCAGGCTGACTCATGAGAACAACCTCAGGGGTTCCTCCATAACTACTTTTATACCTTCTGAGGGCAGAGTACCCACTGACCTGGGAACCTCCGACTAGGTGCCACCTCTTTAAAAGGTCTACCACCTTCCAACATTGTAATCCAGAGGACCAAGTTTTCAGTACTTGAACGCTTGAGGGACCACCATGGCCAAACCATAGCAAGCAGCTCTAAATGCTCGATTCTAGTCCTTCTTTGTTGTTTAGGACAGGGACATTTACTTACTGTAGCTCACCTTATCCACAGGGAATATGTTCCAACACTTCCAGTGGCTGCTTGAAACCACAGATAGTAGCAAACTTTATCTATGCTGGTATTTTTTCTATATGCCCTGCAGCAGAGCCACACAGGACCAGAGTTCATTAATGCCTCAGTGGTTCCTTTGCATCAGTACTCTTGCATTTTGAGGCCACTGCTAAATAAAACCAGAGTGACTTGAACAGAAGCCCAGGGATACCAGGCCAGTTGATCTGATAACTCAGTTTCTACTAGATGGCTAGCATTAACATGTGGGTAGTATATACAGAGTGGATACGTGGCACAAAGGGATGATTCACATCCTAGGTGGGACAGGGTGAGATTTTATCACACTATTCAGCCTGGCATGTAATTTATAACTTGTAGTTGCTTTATTTGAGTAATTCTCCGTTAGCATTTTTGGACTGCAGTTGGCCACAAGTGACTGAAATGTCAGAACGTGAAAGCCTGGGTGAGAGGAGGCTGCTGTGGTTGACCTCAAGGCTATCAACAGGGCAGAGTTTCTGAGTATTACTGATGCCCTCTCCTTGCCTGTGATGAAGCAGGGGATTTGTTGTAAGACCTCTGTCACTGCGCTGGGGAGGCTGGGAGATGGGCAGCAGCTAGGGTTATATTGAAATGTATAAAAACTGAGTTTTTAAAAATTAGGGTGCTTCCTGCAGAGCAGTGGTCTTTCTACATTCTGCCTGTTGAATTTCTTCATTTAGGGGAGGATTAAGCCTGTGACTATAAAGGAAATTGAGGCCAGAGTGCTGTTTAGGGCACTCGTCATTCTATGAATCCGTTGTGTATCCCGCTTCCCATGTTGGATCGCTCTCTCCTTTTGCATTCTATCAATTATTATTAGCAGACACTGGACTTACTTATATGATCCCTTTGACACTTAATCCTATCTTTATGATCAGTTATGAACTTAAACTGATCACTTTAAGTAGTAAGATGGCATTAGTACCTGCCAACTTAATGGGATTTGGAGTCCCATGGCAAGTTTTTAGTTTACCCTTAGTTAAGTCTAAGGGAGCGTGTGCTGAACTGTACATCTGCTCCCTCTCTTATTCCCACTCTTATTTTTAACAGGGATCAATTTTCAATTGGATTTAAGCACCTAAGAAAAATTCTGTGTTAAGTAAAGAGTTCAACCAATGGTAATAAGTAGAAAAAAATTCTAAAAAGCATAAAATAGTTAAGCTGTTCCTTGACAGTCAGGACAAGGGCTGATCAAATCACTGCTTCTCATAGTGCCAGTTTTACTTCTACAGGAGGGAAAAAAAGACCTAAATGAAAGATCTCTGTGAGTGAGATCCCAGTGGAAAGAAGGGGCCATCAAAGAAGGAGGTACCTTTCTCTGAAGGGAGGAGAGAACTTCCACTTTAATTATGGCCTTGTCTAAAGAATGTCAGAGTTTGTGAACTCAAGAGGCTTCCATAGCCTTGGCAGCTCATGACAAGAGCCTCGGGTGATTACTGACATCATAAATAATTGTTAAACCAACAACAGGAGTCACTGTGCACTTGCTCCCCATGTAGGACCTCTGTCCTTAATGTGCTGTACTATGCGAATTAACGGTAAAACTTATCTTCAAACAGTACTTTATATTTTCTGTGTCTGTGTGGGT